TTCAGGCGTTAGGAGGACCGTTGGAATCAAAACTTTGGTGTTTAGCGAAAAAATGTTGTAAGGGAACTTATCGATCCTGCGCATTCAAGCTCTGAGCTAGTCCAAGTTAGCTAGTAGTAGCTAGTGCACTTCTTTTTGTCTGCAACATCTCGCTCTCACTTTGGATTCCATTCTGCTTCCATTTTGCAACTCTCAAAAGCTCAATAATTGGACCTTATCCAGTCTCGTCGAAGATTTCTCAACTAATTTTCCCATTGCATCATCAGTAAAGTTGATTACAAAACACAGTTCTCGTTTGGCAGCGGAATTTCGAAAATGAAAACCTGCGACTCTCTTAAGCTCTCTCTCCTTGGTTGGACTTTTATATTTGAACCAATCTCCGTTGAAAATATTTGAAACCCTTTAAACCTGTTTTATGACATTTTCTTTAAAGCTACTTTTGCGCTATAACAATCATCGTATGTTCTTTTCTGTTATGTTTGAAAAAGTTAACTTTTGAAAGCTACAGGAGAGAAAGGGTAAAGGTAAAATATAGAGGCAAGGAACACCGCCTAGCATTTACCCTGTGATTGCCCTTAAATTTATATGGTTATATGTTTTGCTTATCCTATGTTTTGAAGTTCTTTCATTTTTCCAGTAGATTAAGGTTGAATGAGCTCAACGAAGTTGAAAACACCTTGTTTCGTGCAATTCTATTTGACAGCACGAAATTGTTTCTAATTGAAAACGCTCCTTATGCGTTCATTCAAGGAGAATGCCGAGTTCATTCTTTCCTAGTACGAATTTTTTGTAATCATCCATTTCAGCAACGACGTGGTTTGATAACTTAAATACATTTATGCTTGAGGGGTATATGTCGAGTGGCACTTTTGACGTTAGACCTGCAGTTTGCTCTGTGTAACCTGGTTCGTGTTGTTATGAGATAATAAACTTCAACAAGCAGAACCCAAAACTTCTATTATGTTGCAGACCTATAACGAACAAATCCGATTAATGCCATGAAAAGCCCGTAGCGTTTTTTAAAATTTTTGTCTGTAGTTTCAACAAAATCTATCTTGCGGCCCTACATTTTCAAAGCTGATACTCTCTTTCATGTTACCGATTGAAACTCATAAAATCATCTTTATGTGGTGTTGCAGTATGCATATATACTGACAACCGAAAAGAAGCGACTCGACGTTTCCCATCCTTCAACAACCGGGGCGTCCAAAAATTTTCTACAGCAATATTTTGGTTTCCCTAAACTACATTAAGATATAGAAAGATCTGAGAAATTTATTTGTCCATGTGTTCAATGACTGTCCTTTCGCTTTAACGCAATTAACGTCAATCCTTTCCTCATCCAACAATGTCTCCTTGACTTACGCTTGTAAATGTACTGCCATCGACCCAGTGGCTCAAAGCGTTCGCGTGAAGGTGGTCCTTTACAAATCAATTCCGGGAGTCACCTAGAGCGGTGTCAGCAATGGCACACGCCTCAGATTACTGAAGCCATTAGTCAGCGAATACCCAAAAGCTTCCTGTTTTTTACTTCTGGACTGTTCAATTCTCCTGACTTGTATAAATGGGTTTTCATTTTCCTTCAACTGTCATGCAAAGCAATGATTATGTTATCATCATCGGAATATCTCTATATATAGTCGGTGAAGTTTCATTTTTGCATTATCGTTCTTGCAGGATGGCCTCCTACTCGCAATATCTCACCAAAGAAAAAGAAGATGAGCTTCGAGGCATTGCCAATGCTATTGTGGCTAGCGGAAAAGGGCTTCTTGGTTGGTTATACATTTTTTCACAGTAGTAATTGTTTTGATGTAGTCTAGTCTTACAGCCGCTGATGAGTCAACTGGAAGCATGGAAAAACGTCTAAAAAGCATTGGCGTAGAAAACAATGAAGAAAATCGCAGAAAATATAGACAGGTGCCTAAATCCGCGAATTCTGATCTATACTCGCGCTCAAAAACTGGTTTCAGCTTTTATTTACTGGCAATCCTGATCTTGGGAAACATATTTCCGGAGTTATCATGTTCCACGAGACATTCTACCAGAAAGCTGATGACGGCACTCGTTTTGTCGACGTACTTAAAAAGCAGGGTATCATCCCCGGAATTAAGGCAAGAATTTCGATAGTGTTAGGGTCCAGGAGCGATCTGATCTTCATGTAGGTTTAGGTGGATAAAGGCGTCGTTCCAATGGCCGGAACTGTTGGGGAGGGCACCACACAGGGACTAGATGATCTTAACGCGAGATGCGCTCAGTATAAGAAGGTGAACTTGCTTATGTTGATCAAGAACAAGCAATAAGTCTCATGTG